TTATGTGTCCAGAGACTAAAGTGGCATGGAAGGCTATTCACTGGTGTTGGACAAATCCTATGGAGAGCACATTTCCCATGCAACTGCAGCGTGAATTCCAATCCAGGAGAAAGGAAGATTTGTCCAAATTAATATGGGGCTGCTGGGGCATTTGAAGTGCAAGGAACAAAAGGGTTTGGCACGGGGTTGGCATGGAAGCCAGATTTTTTTTTTTTGCAAAAAATAAACGTGTTGTTTCAGGTTGGGAAAATGTGCATCAAGATTCCAACATGCAGCGAGGCATATTATTGCAGGAATGCTCGTGGTGGAAATGTCCTAAACCCGTAAGACTTAAACTTAATGTGGATGCGGCTGTGAGAGCTTACCAGTGCGGGCCTGGCTGGATTTTGCAAGATGAGGAAGGGAAATTCGTGGCCAGAGTGTCTATGCCACGGCCGGGGAAGTTGTCACCATGGGAAGCGGAGTTAGTGGATACGAACCTTACTTCATTACACTACGTATAATTGTTGTATTGATTATTATTTTGAGGCCAGGGACGGATCCAGGATTTCACGTTGGGGTTGGCTGAAAAACTTAATTGATAATACATTGAATTTTTTTCAAAATAAGCAAAAACTCAAATATAAAAGTTATCCTATAAATTTGTTCTCGACAAGGCTTTAAAACAAAAAAAACTCGTCAACAATAGAGTCTACATCTACACTGAGGGTAATTTCTTTTCAATATAAACTCGTCAACAATAGAGTCTGCATCTATACTGAGAGTAAGAAAGTCATCATCCATTTTGTTGCAGAGTGTTGTCTTTTGAAGTTTCACGGCAGAAAATGATATTCTACGGTTGCAGTAGAAATAATAAGATCAATACAAAGCGAAACAATCTGCTCATCATAACATATGAATCAGATCTTTTGCTCTTAGCTCTAGTCAACTTCTCATATAATTCAAAAAAGTGTAGATACTTGAACAAAGGTGGAACACATGAAACTTGAAACTTTGTATCATGAATCACATAATGAACATAGTGTTGTAGCTCGAATTTCAAAGCACGAATGTCCTGACTACTAAAATCTTCGGGATAGAACTTCCTTGCAAGAGTACAAATAGCATCAGCACCGAACAACTCATATGAAAATTTTGGATCAAATGAAGCACTCAAGGAAAGGAGTTCCACTGATTTATCACTAAATGGGTCCGTAACTCCATCAAAAAAAGTATATTACCTCATTGAAAACATCAAAGTGATAATGGTGATTAACTGTAGTTTTATTTTCAGCAATGACCAACCATATGTTTAGAAATTAGAATTCAAGTTCGGTGCATGAATTTATTTTTTTGAGCCAAATTCATTTACTTCTTCAAGAAAACCTTCCCATCCATTTTCGGTCAATTCCTTAAGAATGAGTTGTGAAGTAGAAAGATGTCTCATGGCTACCAAGATATTCTATAATTTTTTGAAGGCCTTCAGAGAGTATAGTCGTTATTTCCATAACTTTGTGCATCAAAAGTAAATTGAACGCAAATTCAAAATATGGAAAATGTCTATATACAATACGAACTTCTGTTCAAGAACTCACTTTTGGGCAATTAATGTTCTTGAAGATTCTCAAACACTTTACAAGTTGATGTGAACATGTTAATCAAGCTCTTATTATATACTAAGTGCCATTTATTAAGTTGGAGGTGATGTGTATAGCATTTAGATTAGATTTTTAGATGATAAGATTTTGATTTATGGGTTGGGCTGAATAAATTTGATTGAGCTATAGAAAAATTTGGGGTGGGCTAGATGGAATTTTATCAAACTAATACCTTAAATTTTTTTCTGGGCTTCAGCCCACCATAGCCCTAACATAGATCCCCCTTTTGAGGCACAGTGGCACACTACAACAAAGTGTTGTCACTTGCGATAAATACAAAAAAAAAAAAAAAAATAGAAGTCCAAGTAAAAAAAACTGCTTCGTATATGTTAGCGCTATAAGTCAGGGTTATGATGATCTCAAAATCCAAATAACTTTATTTTTCAATTTTTAAGGTAACTTTTTTTATTTTTCATATTTAGGTCATTATACTAGCATTTAAGTCTAATGTAATCATTATTCCGTCCATTTTAATTCAGATTCTAGATCCGCACTACATATATAAGTCTAAATGTTTTTAAATGTTTTATAAATAATTAAGTGACACTCTAATCAGAGGCAACCTTCAGGGATGGGCAGGGGGCGGGGTCCCTAGGCTCAAGCAAAATGAAAAAAATAGGCCCAGGTTTAGTTATTTATAATAAGTGTGAGTATGCTCATTTTCCAGTCCTAAACTAATAAGTTTTCAGGTGGAATTTTTCTAGGTACCTCCAGGTGGACTTTTTGATGAAAATTCATGAGCATGTTTTGTACTTAAAATATGTCCAAAAAAATTCAATTAAAATTCAATCTAGATGACACTTGAATAAATTATTGAATAACATTGTTTTTATGCATATTTTGGCACAATATTTTTCAATAATTTATTTAATTGACTTCCCAATTGAACTTTAAATTCAAATTCTATGGACACGATCTACACTTAATGAAAAACATGGTTATAAAATTTCATAAAACAATTCCACTTGAAAGCATATTAGTCTAATATGAATATTGATTAGTTTATTAATTGATTTCATTCATTGTTGAGTGTTATCTATTGAGTATTGATGTTATAATTTGTTGATTTAGTTAGACGAAAATTTTCAATTATAATTAAATTTATAAATTTAGAGAAAGTTGCGATAAATAAAAGTTTTAATAGAAAAGTTTGTATGTGTAAATAAGTCCAATTTTGAATGTCTTCTCCAAGATTTGAACTCAGAGGAGAAGAATGATTTAGCTACTGAAAATGAAATGATTCATAATGATCACATCATTAGGAGGGATTTAGGAATTGATAATGAAATAGTTAATTTCTTAAAGCGGATTAAACATTGGTTAAATGCACAAAAGGATCACCATTGTTTTCTTTCTAAATAATAACCACTAATATCATTATTCATGTTAGTTTGGATAGAAAAGAACTTCACAATTTTTTAAAATTAGACTCATATTAATTCTCCGTCATTAAGGGTCCGTTTGGTAAGAAGAATATCGGCTGATTTGGCTGATTCTGCTGAAATTTATGAAGTTTTGGCAAAAGTTGATGTATTGGCAGATTCTGTTGATTTAATAAAAATAAAATAAAATATATTTTATTAATAAAATAATGAAAAATATATATGTAAAAATAGCTAAAATGGTCATCTACAGTAACTTCAGCCAATACAACCAGAACAGTAACTACAACCTTACTTTTTCTTATTATTACAAATACAGCGTGCGAAAACAAAAGTTACGTGTTTGGTAAAAAAGTTGGCTGATAAGTCTGATAAGTCAAAAAGTTTGCTAATTTTTTAGATTTAGCCGTGTACATATGTAAAGGTTATTCCGTCATTTCATCTATGCATTAAATATCATTAATGTTAAGTTCACTTCTTTGACCATCTTTTATGATAGTATTTTGGCTGTTTGGCAATTGAGACTACATTAATACTTTCTTTTTAAGTTTTTATTTATTATTTCTTTCTCTTTTTCATAGTTTCATCTCCTTTATTTTTTTGATGTGTTACTATTAATATCATATTTTAATAGGCCTATTTTTAAAATATTTTGAATTTGATTTATATCAGATTTTATTGTTCAAATTACGCACTTTTGATATATTATTTTTTGTATTAAAAAAACAAATAATATACAAAATAAATATCATGACTATGCCCAACATTTTTAAGAATATAAAAGGAATTATCAATTTATTAATATATATGAATGTGAAAATTTATAAATACCTAAATTAAAATACAATGCACAATAATATGCATAAAGTGCACGATGCATTTTGCGATAGAAAACTATAAAAATACATAATATATTGACTATAGCAGAAAATGTTTGAAAGTTCACTTAATTAAACAATTAAGGTGCATACTTTTGAGTTTTAATTTTGATGCACTTATAAAGTTATATGATGCAATTTAAAAGCTAAAAATGTGTATTAAGTTATATGGTATATAAAGTGTGTGTGAATAAGTAAACGGTGACGAGTTAAAATAAAAAGTGCACTTCACATGAAAACTAAGAGTAGATCTAGTGCGTTCAATTTGCGATCAAATGTCTCAAAATATGACAACAATGCATTAAAATCGATCAAAAATGTACTGCCATATTTGTAATTAAGTCAAAAATCCGCCATTCTTAAAAGTGCATCGTATGAAGCAAAAAGTTCATCGTGCAAGACGATAAGAGCAATTATTAGCACTTTGAATGGGAATACCACTTTGATTGGAACCGCACTCTAAGTAAAATTGCACCTAAATAAATAATAAAAAACACATTTATAGGGATTATAAAGTCTGTTAGTATTGCAATTATAAGTGCATCACAGTTTAAATAAAACTGCAACTACTACAAGTGCACTTGTAAATATGCATATTGCACGTTTAGATGAAAAATCGTCCAACTAACTTTCAACTTATTTATTGTAAATTAAAGGGAATTTAATAAAGGAAGATAATATGGAGTATCTTTATGTATGGTCCGTATATAGTACGTACTAATTTAATTATGATCATGGCTCTTTACAAAAAACACCACCTCACACAATATGATTTTCAATTAAACTATTACTAATGGTCACCAAATGCTTTCCATAATTAAATAATAGAGAGTAGTAAAGTAAGGTCTTGTACGTGTTTATATTTATGATTGTTGGATTGAATGTATGAATAGCTAGATTTTATTCTTATTTCTCTATTGGATCTTCATTCTCACCGGAATCGCACCCTACACACACACATAGGATTATTCATGTCCCTCCGTTCTCTACTAGAGCGTTGTCCGGCCTCCGCCTTTTGGAGTCAGGGACGGAGCCAGGATATGAGTGAGGGGGGGGCGAGGTGAAATGAAAAAATACAAAAGCAATAAACATTAAATAATGTAGTAGTATTCATTTAAAACATTCAAAAACACATAACTAAACGTCTTGAGAGTTAAAATTTAGAACGTCGCTCCTGCATGTCACGGAAATCATCTATAAGAGAGTCCACACTAAATTTTTTTGCAATTTGCTTCTCAATGTACACCAACAAACAATCGGTAAGATATTCATCTTCCATCTTGTTTCGAAGGGTAGTCTTCACGATGCTCATAGCAGAAAAAGATCGCTCCGTAGTAGCTGTAGATACTGGAAGTGTAAGAATGAGAGTTACGACTCTGTATACAAGCGGGTAGATGTCTGATTTTCTAGTTGTTATCAACCACTGACTTAGATCAGAAATAGAGTCCAATGCACCAAATTCAGGAAGTTGGCAAACATGCTCAAAATGCTGAAACTGAACTCTCAATTGTAACATCTCATATTCTTCAAAATCTTGTGGGTAAAACTTCTCCACCAATTTGCAGATGTCATCAATTCTGAATGATATGCGCATCTCTTTTGGATCAAGTGCCGTGCTAAGCGTTAATAACTCAATTGCTTTCTCATTAAACTTGCTCTCCAATTCAGAGAGTTGGGTATCAATCACCTCATGAAAAATGTTGAATTTGTAATGCTCTCCAATTGTCAACTTATCTTTTTGATGTCGGGCTCTCCCCTTTCTTGCGATATGCAAAGCATTAAAATCCAACACAGGTATATTGACAGATTCGCAGAAAGCCTTCACATTTGTAATTAATTCATCCCATCCATCGTCTCGTAACTTTTGAATGAGAATTTTAGTTGACGACACAAGATGAATTGCATTTAGGATATCTTGAGACTGAAGTTGCAAAGCTTGACAAAGCATATTAGAAATCTCTAAAACATTTCGCATGAGATGCAAAATGAAGACAAATTCAAATGAAGTTAGCACCTCATAAGCAGCATCAGCATCTCCACGTTGAGCATGTGTAGTCCCATCCTCAATAACATTTATCAGAACTTCACATGTTGCACTAAACATCTTCATCAAGCTCGAGATAGATCTGAAATGAGAACTCCAACGAGTGTCCCCTGCTCGTTGTAAAGAACCCATTTGATTGAGTCCCTTCCCAGTCTCAAGCTCGTTAATACTGAGTAAATGAGCAACATTTGAGGCATGTGCAGCTTTTAACTGATCATTGCATTTACAAGAAGCTCCAACAATATTAATAATGGAACCCAACTTCGTGAAAAACTGATGAACGGGGATGACTTCCTTTGCTGCAGCTACTAATGCCAATTGCAAACGATGTGCAAAGCAATGGACGTAATAAGCATAAGGACAGTCACTTAAAATTAGAGCTTTTAACCCATTCCATTCCCCTCTCATGTTGCTTGCACCGTCATAGCCCTGTCCTCGAATACTTTGAACATCGAGAGTGTGACGAGATAAGACAGAATATATAGCTTCTTTTAGTGTTGATGCAACTGTGTCCTTCACATGAACAACGCCAAAAAAACGTTCTTTTACACATCCATCCCTATCAACAAATCTAAGAACAATGGACATTTGCTCTTTTTTGGATTCATCTCGAGCCTCATCAACAATGACACAAAATTTTGCATCACCAATTTCTTCTCGTATGGCATTCTTAACTTTAGTAGCCATAACTTGCACAATTTGTTTCTGTATTGTTGGTGATGTATATGTTGCATTTCGTGGAGCTTTATCCAGAGCTTTTGCTACTTCTTCGTTGTAAGAAGAAATAAAATTTAATAGCTCTAAAAAATTTCCTCGGTTGGTGGAGGAAGCTGACTCATCACGACCTCTAAAAGGGCATCCTTGAAACACAAGCCATCTAACTGTCTCAATAGAAGTTTTTAGGCGAAGTCTATTTTCAACAACTTCTTGAGAAGTAAACTTCTGAATACTTTGGGCAATATGTGATTGTTGATTCATTAAAGCAGCACATGCTCTTTCAGCATTTCGATGAGAAGAAGTGAGATCTTTGCCAATGTGCGCCAAGAGTGAGCAATTTTTTCCATCTCTAACTTTCTTCCATGATCGAAAGCCAACAATGGTAAAAGCATTAGATCCAGAGGGGCTGTCTTGATTATGGAATAAGAAGCACGGCAAACAAAACGCAGCATCAAGTGTAGGAGAATATTCTAACCAGGAAGGGAATAGCTTAAACCATGATGGTTGAAAACTGCGACGATAATTTTCTCCAGTTTTTGGATACTCCGAAAGTATACATTGATATGGACCCGCTTTGATATATGCCCTGCGTACTTCATCACGTTTGTCAACGGGGTATTTCCATATTGGTGGTCGCAATCCTGGATCACGCTCGAGAGATTGGATATCAAATCTCTCGTTGACTTCAATTCTTGGACACTTTGTTGGGCGACTCTCAGAAATCGAAGTATCAATATGTGGAGATACATTTGATTGAGATGAAGAACTTTCAGTATTTGCACTTTTAAAGAATGCACGGATACTTTGGGACTTTTGTGTCTTCTTCATCTATGAAAACAATTAAGGACAAAATTATTTTAATAATCCAGTACTCTACTCGTTTAATGTCCGGACTCTAAAATAAGATTATATAATTACATTTTTAAATGTTAAAATAAACACTAAAGAGCCCTATACAAGAATTCCTTAAATACACAATCATAATTTGCAATAACTTATTTCCTTTGTTTTTGCTCATAAAATAGTACATCATTATAATTTCTAAATTATAACATATTATATCTTGTTTATAAATTAACCATTTAAATAATAAATACTATTTCTTTATTAAGTAAGTCATTAAATTTCGAATTAATAACTTAAGTGATAACAAACATTTCAGTTTTATATTACTTTTAAAATAACTAATCTAATCAATTTACCTAAATAATGAAATTTCTTTGATTTTAAAATAATTAGTAAAGTTATGGCTACTAAATAGCGTGAACACCGTCAATTTGACATATATAGCAGAACGATTCTCTGTATCTCTAATCAGTAATCAGTTTACTGTGATAATCTTAAATAACTAATTAATCTAATATAATCGATTAGTAAAGTTATGGCTACTAGAATCAAATAACTAAGCTTAAAAAGTGAAATCTCTTATGGCACAATAAGCTTAAATAACTAATCTAATCAATTTACCTTAATAGATGAAAACCGTCAAAATAATGTTAGAATGCTGAAGAAGACCTGCGGCAATCCCGCCAATCTGAAACCGGCCAATCCGTTGCTGGTTAGTAGATGGAAATGCTCCACATATTCTTCATCTCACTTGAGCAGCTAATTTGACTCCTCTTAATCTCCTTATTGTTGGGCACTTGGGCGGCAGAGATTTGGAGGAACCGAGGAAGACAGGGGAGTGACGAGTTGAGGACGGAAATTATGCTCCAAGCCTCCAAACCTATTTTTTAATTCTTGGACTTATCACTTGTGGACAATTGGACAGGGCTTTTAATTGAAATTAGGCCCAGCCGGCCAGCCGTATCAGGGTATCACGTGGGGTTGAAGCTTGGCTGCAGTTTGCTTCATGTGGTCTAGGATAATAGTAAAAACTAAAATGTTGGGGGGGGGGCAAATTTTTTATTTAATACTACTATTAAAAAAAAAAAATTGGGTGGGGGGGCAATTGCCCCCTCAAAGCATGCTGTAGCTCCGTCCCTGTTTGGAGTGGTTCCCGATGGTATGTTTTGTTCAAAATTTTTGTGCATGTTCCTCATCAAGTATAGTTTATCCATACCAAACTGCAGCTAAAAATACAATCGGGAAGGCAGTCAACTGATTTTTGGAAGTTAACTGCGTTTTATATGTATATAAAGTGCGTAGTTAACTTCGAAAAATCATTTGAATGTCTTTCTGATTGAATTTTTAGCTAAAATTTGTTATGGATAAACTATACTTGATGAAGAACATGCACAAACAATTTGAGCAAAAAATACCACCGGGAATCACCCCAAAAGGCGGAGGCCGGACGGCGCTTTGGTCAGGAATGGAGGGACATGAATAATCCTATGTATATATTATATATATATATATATATATATATATAGGAAATCTTTCCGGTAAGGTATAGTATACCTTACCGGAGCCGCCGTGCGGCCTCCACGTTTTGAGGACCTTCCTGGTGGAATTTTTCAATGAATTTTTTTGAGCATGTTCTTCATCAAGTCTAGTACATCCATACCAAATTTCAGCAAAAAATTCAATCGGGAAGGCAGCCAAACGATTTTTGGAATATAACTGCGTTTTATATGTGTATATATATATATATATATATATATATATATATATATATATATATATATATATATATATATATATATATATGCTAGATAGTATATAAGACCCGCTTTGACTCTATTCCGACATGGAAACGATTCTTCTGATGATACGACCACCATATAATATATAGCCTATGAACATCATGCTCAAATAATTTTTAGGTAGATTCTATGTCACCCATAAGATTCTAGGACACATCCTTGCACATGACATATATACTGATATACACCCCCATTACGAACAACGACGTTAATGAATATTTTGATGACTTAACTATAAGTATATTTACTGATTGCATAAAGATAACATGTTGGCTCATTAATGAGTATTTGGATGACTTAACTATAAAATATATGCATTAATTAATTTTATAAACATCCCTGCTATTTGCACCCATCTTGTACTCACCAATGTAAGAGAGTTTTTTTTGTCTAAATTTCGTTTACAGACAAGACTTGTCTTGTTTTGTCTGTACAAATTCTTTTATGTATTAATTTATATATTATCCAAAGTGAAAACAGAAAAGAACACAAATCCTGGCCTTCATAAAAACTACTTGGCCACGCCCCACTTTTATTGATATTCAGCACTTTTATCTTCGGCGGGAAGCTCATTTAACAAGAGATCATACTTTTTTGGTAAGTATCTTTTCTAGTCTCAAATGAAAGATTATATTGGGGGATTGTCCTGCCGTGCGCATGGTATACCGATTCCATTATTACGTTGTTACATTGCACTATCTTTTTTCTTCTCAGGAGTATAGGTTTTTTTTCCTTTGCTCCTTTAATTTTCTTTTCGTCAACTATTTTCTCCTTCTCTATCAAAATACTAAAAATTTAATTGTACTTTTAGTTTTCTTTCTTTTCAACCTAAATTATAACTCAATCTATTTTTTTAAATTTTTTATCAATTCATAGCAAAATTTTATTAATATAAATAAAATAAGTATATTGCATTTCATGTTCATACACTATTTTTATTTTTGTAATAATTTTTACATGCATAAACTTTTTTGTAATATATTTTTTATATTCACACTTTGTCTATTATATATGGAGTATATTTTATCTTTTTTTTATAAGTTTTAGAGGTTTTAAGACATTGGGTTTATTTAATTTGATTCATTGAATTATATTTATAAACATATGAATTGAAGTTGCATTTTCTTATGCGCGATTTACATTTTCATGTGCTCGAGTTACTTCTTCTCATTCACGAGTTACATTTAGATTTGCCTCAACAAGTTATATTTTGTATACACGTAAATTACATTTCCCATTATCCAGAGTAATCGTGGGTGTGTTCTCAAAAAACAAAGAAAATTAATTAAAATGACTAAAGAAAAATAGAAAAGAGATGGGACAGAATATAGCCAAAACTTGTGCTACGCACAATGTCCTTAAAATGTATTCGTTGTCTCCCAAGGTGTTAGGAGCATTGCAACAGTCGTTTTCCTAGATACAATGACAACGAACAATCGTTGAACACTCAAACGAATTGTTCCAGCGAACGTGAACAAGCACGAACACATAAGAATTTTTCAGAGAAAGCTGGAGGAGTTTTTGAGCTAAAGTGCAGTTCGTGAATGAATTGTTTATTGTTGTAAAGCACCTCTCAGCCATTCATAGGGATGGATTTGCAGTGTGTTAATGACGTTTTAATGGAGTTGAACGTTGTACATCAATGGTCGAACGTTGGGCATTGATTCTCCAAAACAGTCCATTTAATTGAATGATTGTTGGACATTAATTCTGTAATGCCTCAGCAGCTACTTGTTGTTGGTCATTTAACTTGGAGCAGCAGCCTGCTCCAAAGGGATGAACCTGGAGCAAAAATATGAACGTAACGGGAAGAACAAAATTTAATCTTATCTTTAGAAGATAGATTTTCGGACGACATCCGTGTCTGCAGGTCGCCCGCGCACGCAAGTCACGATTTTTCTTCTCCGTTTTCAGATTTCATTCACACCCGAGTGCGCGAAGAAAGTCTTTTCATTTAGGAATCTTAACACCTTCAATGAGGTTTCCCTTTATAAGGGGTTGAAAATCTCTTGGATTTTTCGGTGTGGGAAATAACACACTAGAAACCCATCATTTTCTTGTTTTCTTCATTTCAACGAGTGAACTTCGAGAATCAATTTCTCATTTACCAGTTATCCGTTTTGACTGTGCCACATATCGAATTGTAGTCCTTAACAAGGACAATCCAAAACCACTTTGACCCGACTCAAATCGGAAGTGGACCCCACTCAAAATATTGCCCCAAATTTGACTATCTAATGCAATCTTTAACACATTTTTTCAACAGTAATTGCATTTTCCATAACACGAGTTAGATCACGAAAAAAGCTTTGCTGTTGAAACCAAACAAAATATTGATTTAAAAAATCACTTTTAATGGTCTTGATATTAAAAATAAAACATTGTTTACGTAAAGTATTTGAGCAATTTACGTAAAGTATTGAGAAAAGTGTCAAATAAGTCCACCTACTATTATGAAAAAGTCAATTGAGTCCACGCACTATTTATTCAATCAATTAAGTCCACCAAGTATCAAAAAATGACCAAATTTGATTTTCCTCCGGTAGTTGACCGGTTTCCCCTGTTAAATGGCCTATGTGGATCATCCACGTGGCTTTTTCCCTTAAGCGCTTATTTGGCTGTCCATGTGGCTTTAAAATATCTTTTTCCTTTTTTATTAAATGTTTTCTTCTTCTTCATTCTACCCATCCCTGCAACTCTTCTCCCCCTTTTCTTCTTTCCGTTTTTTTATTTCTTCTCTTTTCTTTCTTTATTCTCCTCTCTTTTTCCTTCTTCCCTCTCTAGCTTTCCATCTTCCACCACTGTCGACCTCTGCCGCCACCATCTCCGTCGATCTCTTCCGTCGCCGTCGAATTCTGCCGCCGCCTTCGACCTCTGCCGCCGCCGTCGCCTTCTGTTTCACTGCCTGGTTTCCATTGAAGAAGAGGAAGGGTCGCCATCGGATTGCCACAGTCGCATTCTCTGGACATGAAAATGGGAGTATAGAAGGTTGGGTAAGCTAGAGGAAAAAGTGGAGCAGAAGAGAAAGAAGATGGGGAAAAAGAAAGAAAAGGGAAACAAAAAGGGGGTGAACTGTGCAAGAATGAAGGGAGGGGGGTTGCGTGAGGCCGTGGGGACGTGGGGTAGAAGCAGTGGGAGAGAAGAAGAAAGAAGAGGAGAGGAGTTCCAGGGAGAAGAAGCAAAAAGGAGAAAAAGAAAAAAAAAGAAAAAAAAAAAGATGAAGAAGAGGGGGGAATTGCAGGGGCGGATGAAAAAGGGGGTACGAACTACGAACCAGATTACCGGAGGAAAGAAAGGAAGAAGAAGTAACTAAGAAAGGAGAAAAAGAAGGGCTACCGGTTCTTTACCGGTTAAATGGCAAAAATGACTAAAATTTTAAACTTTGTGTACTTAATTGATTGAATAAATAGTATATGGATTCAATTGACTTTTTCAGAATAGTAAGTGGACTTATTTGACACTTTTCTCTAAAGTATTTGATCAATTACACACTTTTTTCATTGTTTATATTGAATTGAAATCAATGTTTTATTTCTTATACTCAATGACTCCGTAGTAGAGAAGTTACATTTCAAATGGTCTTCAATTAGATATCTCATCAACATGAATTACAATTTTTATATGTGAGTTGCATCACCAGCTAGCTATTGAAACAAACAAAAAATTGTTTGTTTTAGAGTTGAGATGTGTTTTAGAGTTTTAGCTATGGCAATATCATACTGAAGATAAGGATAACAATAGTTCGGGATAATGGATGTCTTTAATTTAAACGTATGTGTAGTCAAAGAATGTCCACTACTTACACAATCTTCGACGGTATAAAAATTTAAATTAATGACGTTGTTAGATTGATGTCGGAGTGTTTGGGGTTATTTAGAAGAGGGAAAACTGTCAAATAGGTCCTCGAACTTTCATTAAAAAGTCAATTAAGTCCTTCTATAGGAGACTCTGTCCGGTCGTCGCGATTTGGGGCGGTTCCCGGTGGAATTTTTTGATGAAATTTTTTGAGCATCTTATTCATCAAGTCTAGTTTACTCATACCAAATTTCAGCTAAAAATTTAATCGAGAGCGCATTCAAATTAATTCGAGAACGCAAAAATGCGCAGTTATCTTCAAGAATTAATTTGAATGTGTTCCCGATTGAATTTTTAGCTGAAATTTGGTATGAGTAAACTAGACTTGGTGAATAAGATTCTCAAAAATATTCATCAAAAAATTTCACCGGGAACTGCCCCAAATCGCGACGGCCGGACAAAACCTCCTATAGAAGGACTTAATTGACCTTTTTATGAAAGTTCGAGGACCTATTTGACAGTTTTCCCTTTAGAAGAAGCGTTTTTCAGTTTCTGGTTTAAAAAAAACTTAAAAGAGTGTTTTCAAATAACAGTTTCTGCTTAAATTAATCACTTAAAAGCTAAAAGTTGGAAACAGGTGGAAGAGTGCTTTAAACTGCTTTTCACTTTTTCTATTATACAAAAAACACTTATTTTAACAAACACTATCAACTTTTACTTTTTCAGAATCACCTTTTTCTCAAACACTACCAACTTAAAAAAAACACTACCAACTTTTACTATTAAATATTTTCTCCAAAATCACTCTAAAAATCACTTTAAAAATCATTTTTTAAGTAGAAGCAATCGCAAATGTCTATATTTACTAAAGAATGAAATGGAAAAGTGAAAAAAATTGCTATCCTTAATGTTGCTTGAGCCTATGAACCAAATAAATCGAAGCACGGATTTAATTCTGAACCAAAGGATTTCTAGAACAATTTGTATACCAGTTTAGACTTTAGAGTTCTTTGACAATACTAAAATTGATTGAATTGATTAATTCTGTTGAAATTGATAAAATTCTTGCTGAATTATGAAAAAATACTTAAAATATATTTTATTAATAAAACAAAGAAAAATTATTTGAAAAGTAACGAATTATAATAAGTAATTTCAACCTTACTTACTTATTATGTTTATTACAATATTTTGAAATAAAAAATGTATCTTAATTGCCATATCAGCCTATGTGCGTCAAACAATTATATTTCACGCGATTCGATACATACAAATGTACGTACATTCACAAATGTTGGTTGGTTCTTGTCCAATATGCGGAGAATCGGGACTAAAATCTGATTTCATTCGTAAATTGAAAACAGGACCATCGATCTGGTTCTTCCCTTCCAAATTCTAGTCCAGCTAGATCGATCAAGCTTAATCTCCCACACTTTTGGTTTGGTTTATTGCTTTAGAAAAGATGGGGCTCTTTTGTACGTATTGAAAACTTGCTTAATTTGAGTAATAAACAATAGTCTGTTTGGTAATTGGCCGGAGGCCGAAGCTGTTGAAATTAATTCAATTTTGGAAGAAGATGGAGCTCGTTTTAATTAAACTTAATTAAGTTATAACATCAAATATCCATGAAACCTTATGATAAAAAAAATATTCATGAAACCTTTATGTTAATTTATGCTATGTGAAAATAAGCATTACGGATTTTAAGCACATGCAATTTTCTTCCCAAAAAAATAGAAAATGCCCTAAATAGAAGTAAAAACGTTTTGAAATTCCAAAATAGGACTATCATGTTTTTTATGATTTTTTTATGAATATTACTAAATTAAGTGTGAAAGACAAAAATATGACCTCTTTTAAAAATTTCCAACACTATGACTTATGATGTTTTTACTTGGATTGTAATTTGCTGGTCTGGTCTGGTTTCTTTGAATTTTTATAACTACCCAAGTCTGGTTTGGTCTGGTCTGATCTGTGACAAATTACAGTCCAAGTAAAAACATCCTTACCATATTATTTATGCCTTTTATTTAATATTACATTTATTACTATAACATTCCTTTTTAATACTCTCTCCGTCCCGTAATTAAGTTCACAGTTTTACTTCGCACAGATTAAGAAAATAAATTGGACTTTACTATGGAATGCATTGTTTAAACACTGTTTGACACTTTTTTATGTAGATTATTTGCCAAATAAGGAAAGTTTTGAAGTGTGAAATTAATTTCGGGACTGCCCGAAAAGGAAAGTGAGAAGTTAATTTTGGGACGGAGGGAGTAATTATAATTAGTCATTGTTGTCCAACCACCTCCAACAACCATCATTACCGCCACGCCAGTGGCGTATCCACTATGGGGGCAACGGGGGCGGCTGCCCCCACTAAACCCCAACCCTACCCCTATATATATCTAAAATTTTATAAGAAATTACTCAAAATAAGAGTTAAATGTAGAAAAAAAATCTAAAATAGGATTAAGAACGTTTTCTTTTATATTAAAAGAATGGAAGACTAAAAAAATCACTAAATTTTGTTATGTTTAACATATATTTAGATAATTTTCTCAAACTTTATCAGTAGTTACATCTTTACACACGTAATATAAATTGATCTTCTTTTTATTCATACCTACTTGTACATATATATCTTAAACTAAATTTAATCAAACAATATTAATAATGGCATTTGCCATTTGTAAAATATGAAACTAAATTGTAGTGCATGTTTGCCCCCACTAGCCAAATTTCCTGGATACGCCACTACTGCCACCGCCGCCACTAACACTGCCACCGCCGCCATTAACACCGTCACTGCCATTAGTCATTGGACCACATTAGTGACTACTGTATATGTCACTGCATCCCTTAGTGACTGCCGCCTCCACCATTAGTCAATGAACCACATTAGTGACTAACCTCTATGGCATTGCATCCTTCGGTGACGGCCGGCGGCCGCCACCGCTGTCACTTTCTACCGGCAGTGACTGCCGCTCCCACCCTCTCATAGACTGCCCAGTCAGTGACTCACTTCGAAAATCCTGTTACATCACTGCCACTCTGATCAGTGACTCTCATTGCCGCCATGGCCAATTTACACCACCACTGACCCCGGCCAATTAGCACTGCGGGCGCCCCGACCAAACTTCTCCCGCCATCATGTATCCTTCAATTGCCCCTATACCCTAAAACTATAGAAGATTCAAACTGTTCTGAAGTTTGTTTGTGATAAATGAAATAAGATGTAGAAAAATTGAAGGGATGAAATGTATTAAGAAATTAAAGGACATGGAGAGTGGCATTTAAACGAAGGGCATGGAGGGCTGCGGTTTCTTCCAATGCTCCTGCATCTACGGAATGGACTTTGGGATATGATATAGAAAAATTTACACGAATATTAGTCTTTTAAACATCACTAACAAAACTATGACTGCCGAATAAAATGAGTCGAGGAGCTTTTCTATCCTTCCTTATTTGACCTCGCGAGTAAAACAGTATTCATGTTTCCTTCTCCAACGAAACTGTCTCGCGCGCCTATCTATACGAAAATCTCGCCCTCTCTGCACTCCTACCATATTCAACCACCTGTAATTCTAATAAGGTTGTAACTCTAAACCCTATCTTAATCCTCTTCTCTGCATGTCGACAATGGAGGCCTGATTCTTCAATTTCTGCACCGTGCGACTCTGTTCGGTGAGGCGGCAAGAATCACGGTAAGACTCACGACTATTAGTGTAATCATCTTCTCTGCTACGTTTCACTTTTCGAACCAACATTTAGTTTAATCTGTAATGAATTGGTTTCGAAACTTAAAAATCTGTAATGTCCTCTGTGATTGTCTTAATTATATTTCACAAATGGGTCTTCAGTTTAGTTAAAACGATATTGGCTATATGTGATAGTAGTTTCCATGCTTTCTGAAGTTAATTTTTTGGTTGCTCAATTAATTCTTTTATTGAACAACCTTTTAAACTTTGCTAGTTAAACTAATCGTTTTCCAAATGGACGATTTCATTCCACTTTTAGCTAAAAAGGTTTGGTGTCTCTAAGAAGAATAGAAGCCTTGGCGATTTGGAAAATGAAACCTACCCCTGGTGCTTCTGCCATTAACTCTAAGAAACCCAGGGTAAGTACCAGTAACACATAGCCAACTTACTGAAAAAATGGATAAAAGCTTCAGCAAATTGATGTTGTTCCATGACAAGATAGTAAGCAACAATGATATAACATAGAAGAAGAGTAAGCCACTAACCAAGGGTAAGAAAAGAAAGCGGAATTTTCCAATTATGTAAACAGAAACATGTACTTTTATAAGAGCAAAATACAATTCACAGAGAGAAAGTAGCAATAAAATAGAAGTAGAAGAAGAATTTAAAATGCTTTTGAATGTTGCTCTTACTTCTATATATTTGTGAATCAGATCATGGAAGACATTGATGATTTCACTACTCCTGCACCATCTTCAACAACAGTACTGCGATCATCCGTGAAAGTCCCAGCCACACATAAGCCTAAGCATGTAAGCGTGCATAGCATCTGTGTACATTTAGTTCCCTCCCCATCACCAATTTTGACAGTATTAGTTACTAACTTTGATCTTATGCTCCCCACAGATGTACAAGAGGCTGGTGAAGAAGTCCTTAGTCTATAAGCACATAAAGAACAAGAAAGTAAACACATTTTCTAGGCTCTTTGACTCTGTGTCTCTAGTAAAGCAGAAGTTAGAACCTCACCAAGTGGAACTCTTTAAAAAAACAGCATTTGGTCCGTTTCTAGATGCTAGGAAAATGTGTTGCAGTGGTCTACTCATTCATTATTTGTTAGGGAATTTGGTAGAGGTTGAGAATGTTCCCAATCCCTTTCATTTGTACTTTGACATTCAGGATAGGCTAGTTTCTTTCTCTGTGTTAGATTTCACCAC